CTTCATGATTTTTACAAAACTCTAGGAAATCATCTTCTGCTTAAGAAGTACCTTATCAAAGAGACAGCATTTGATCTTGGGTCAAAATGTGTAACAAGTCATATTTCAAAGGAGAAACATGATTTTCTCAAATGCCATATAAACCCCGGCCTTTTCACTTCTGAGCCAACCCTCTGCTAGTCTGACTGGGAAAACAACGGAGGATGTCCAACCGCTTGGGCCTTGCAACCATGTGGGAATCCGAAATGAAGGTCCTGGCCCCGCCCAGGCCAATGTGATTTTGGGGAGTGAATCAGCAGGTGGAAGATCTTTCCTGGGTCTTTCCCTCTTTCTCTGGAAGTCTGTCTTCCAAATAAATAAATCACAAGGAAAGAGACACTGGGTTAGAGCTATATTAACTGACCTCATCAGTTGGCTATAACATGTTAATTGATAACGCAATTTCGTACCGTTATATTGGAATACTTGTAAACCTTATGACAGGTAAGCATTTTGTTTTAAACGGGTATGAATACAGTAGGAGAATAATGTGCAGCTGGGGAGTGGACATTGGTTACTCTAAGTGGACTGTAAATGGAGAGATGAAGAAGGAAGGATTTTTATCCTGTTGCCTCAATATTGTGGTACTTCTCACAGTTAACATTGTGTTAAGGGCAGAGAGGTGAGAGAGAAAGAGGCTCTTTTACTAGTCGGTCCACTCCCCACATGTCCAGAAGCCTGGAATTCCATTCAACTTTCACACGTAGATGCTGAAGTCCAAGAACTTGGGCCATCTTCCGTTGCTCCTTTGGTGCATTATCCGGGAGCTGGGTAGGAAGTGGAGCAAGTAGCACTTGAACTTGTGCCATATGGTATGTGTGTGTTGTGGATGGCAGTTTAACTCTCTGTGCCGTAGCATCAGTCCCAATATGTACCTGCCTTACAGTATAAACAATTACTAGGAGAAACATTCTTGAAGCTATTTTTCAGAAATAAAGATTACTAGTAGAATGACTTCAGCTGTTTTAAATGGCCATACAGAAAAAAGGTCTCAGTGTAAATTTTTTTTTAGTAAATTTTTGTAAATTCCCCCCCCCCTTGGATTTGTATGATGATATTTCAATCTGTCTTCTCTTGGAATCTATGTTTTTTCCCAGAAGTCTGACAAACATGCTGCCATAAGCACACCTGTGTAGCATCCCGGTGATGTTTCTTGATTGTCCGTGCTTTAACTAATAAGCCCTATCGTATCTGTTCTAGAAAGAGCTCCTACGTGCCATGCCTTTGCTTCACTCCCTTTCGCCCTCAGCCTCCCTGTCACTCTGCAGGTGGATGCTTTCCAGTTCTGGCCTTGTGGGACAAGTCAGCAGATTTTTACACTGTTGACCTCCTTCTTGATCCACTTTTGGTGTCCTTGACACCTCCCCCTGCGCACCATTCTCACCTATGCAGGAAGTGATGTTATGAAGGGAATGAGGTGGCTGACTCTACACTGGGGTCCCAGGAAGGACCGTCAGTTCTCAGACTGTCATCTGAGGCTGTCCTGGAACTGGCAACCTAAAGACAGTCCCTCCATTTTGATTCAGGGATGGGGACGCCGGGCCCACTGCTCCTGGTGTTGCAGCTCTTTTGCTGAGTCCAAGAAGCTGGTCAGTGAACACGTAGATGCTGCTGAGAAAACAGTAAGTCTCTGCCCTTGCGAGGATAGAAAGTCGGAAGTATGGACGCAACAATGACCCCTGTCTCACTTCTAATTCCAAGTATCTTGTGAGGGTATTTCATTGATGGAAATCATTTCACACACAGAATCCCAGCTGTACAGAAGTGCTCTTGCAGTACACAAAGGCATTCCTGCACGAGATGGAGAGGTGATAACTGAGCCATTCATTTGCCAGGCTCATACCCGTTCCCGTTCCCGTGGCCACCCATTCCATAGCCACACTAAGTCGCTCTAGGTAACAAGCTATTTAGAAATTGGGATTTCCTAAGACCTGGTAGAAGGCTCTGTTTCTCTGTTTGCACAGGGAATCTCATTCATCGCCAGGACTTCTACCACCATGCACACATAGGATGCTGAGACTCAGTTTTTAGCCCAGTGCTCCTTCTTTCGGGCTTTGGCTGGACCAGCCATCCCCATGCACGTCTCAGTGCCACCCTGCATCAAATCAGCTTCTTGATCCCCCGCAATCCAGCATCAGTCTGGTCCTCCCTCAGAGTGTTGTCTTTCCTTGTTATCAATGGCACCATCACCGCTCCAACTGTACAAGCCAGGAAAAAGAAAGGCATCCGTTGCTACCCTCTTATGCCTGAGACCCATCTGTATTTTTTCTATCTCCACTGTACCTAAACTCAAAACCTACCATCCTATGTATACTTTCCCATCTTCTGAAATATTGCAAGAATACCAATTTTCTTCATATATCCCCTTCTGCTCTGTGTAATCCAATCTTACACCGCACCCAAAAGATCATGTTCATGCACTGCTTGCCGATCTGTTATCTTCTCACTGTGAAGACCCACATCCCTCTGTAGGGTTTAAAGCAATCTTTAAAGGCTGGCTTTTTAGCTGCATCTTCTGCTACTGACCACTTTATTCACAGTAGCCTTACTGCCCTGGTTTCAGCCATTTAGAAGGTGCCACACACACGTTCAATCCAGCCTTTACGTATGCACTTCCCTTTGCTTGGAGTATCAAGGCATCCCTAGACCCTTCCCCTTCCTAGAGGACATCATCTCCAGACCCCTTATCCAGTCTCCACTAGTCACTCTCACGGACCCCTAGACTTCTTATTGCTAATGTTTATGCCAATTCAAATACAGTAAGTGGATAATTAGTTATTTTACCTTTGTCCCTTCTTGCTGAACGCAAGCTTAGCAAGACAAGGACCAGGTGCACCAGGTTACCCCCAGTCCCCTGCCACAGTCCTGACACACAACAGTCATTTCACATTGACATTGATAAGATAGAAGTGCAGTAGCCAGCTGCTAGTCTAAGCTCTTCCTGTGTAACTCATCTAATCCTCATAAAAAACCTAGCACACAGGTGTTATTATCCCCATTTATATAGATGTAAAATAGGCATGGAGAAGGAAAGCAAGTTGATAAAATCACGTAGTGGAAAAACAGGACTTGAATCCAGCAGTACAGATTGAAAGCCTATACTTTTACTAACTATATTTTACTGTCTCAATATTTATTGTCATCATACTCAAATGTTTACTGCATTGAGTTACTCATGGAGTTGCTCATAAAGGAGCTCATAATTATAGAGCATGTCTATAGTAAAGTTTTACTTGTTTAATATGAGACCAAGATGGGTATAGTTGGATTCATGTGTGCTGGAAATGCTTTGTTAACCTTACCTCAGAAGAGGTAACCTGTCCAAGGGTGAATTCTAATAGTAATTCAACAGATTAGAGTAATATTCAAAGTCCTCTTACCCCTTAAACTCATGCAAGTTTTGTTGTTAGAATGGACCAGGGCTGGACCAGGCTGAAGCCAGGAGCCAGGAGTTTCATCCAGATTTCTTCTATGACTGGCGGGGACCCAGGCACCTGGGCCATCTTCTGCTGCTTTCTCAAGCACATTAGCAGGAAGTTGGATTGAAAGCTGAGCAGTTGGGATTCACACTAGGACTATGTTATGGGATCCTGATGCCTCGACTGATGTTTAACCTACTGTACTGCAACACTAGCCTCTAAAGTGTATGTTTCAGAAAACTTTAGTCTTTCTGCTCTGCATTAGTCATTCTACAAGAGTAGAGTGAAATGTGAAATGTCGGCCCCAGATTTCATCATTCCTAACTTAAACCATACATGAGCCATTTAGATGTTGAATTATTGTTGTCATTATTGTGGATTGAGATTGTACTGTGGCTTTGGGAAAAGCCTGGAAAACTGGCCAACTTTCCCTCCCTCATGGTTTTATCCTATCATGGACATGAGAGCCCTCAAAGCATTTAACAACAAAATGCTGGCCAACTGTTATGATGTTGCTCTAAGTCACCCATGATGGTGTCTGTAAACCCCTTTGTACTCCTAGAAGAAAGGCACTAATAAAATAGCAACGCACCAGTCCCTTAGACAACCCCCTAAGAGATGGGGGCTCATGACTCATGATGAATGTCTTGCCCTGAAAGAAATCATGGGCTGGGGTTGGGGGTGGTTCATCCCCAAGCGTTTCCCATACTCTTACACATTTTAAGACTGTACTATATGATTTTTGGAGCAATATTGCGAGGAGGAAAATTGTTGGGTTCTAATGATGGATGTCTTATACCCGCAGAACTTTCTGAATGGTACAGACTGGGGAAGGGAAGGCACCCAGGGCAGATTTCCCATTAAAGCCAAGATTGGGCAACCATCCTTCCATAACGCGGTGATGGGGAACTTCCTCTTTCGGCTGTCTTGCTAATTGGCTGTTCGTGCACTGGGGATTCCCAAATGGTTTTGGGTAAGAGAGGCATCTACCTAACTGGAGGAACCAAATTAAACCAAGGCTACTTTGCCCTTGGGAAAGAAGCAGATAAGACACTGGAGTTTGTGGAGGCTTGTAGGACTGGCAATTCACAACTAAATGAAATGTGGGAGACCATTCTGTGGACTTACTGCCAATTTCAATTTTTTTTTTATCCTTAAGCCTCTTTCCAATAAACATACAATTGTGGCATTCTCCTTCAACTGAGGATTATCAGCGTGTGAAAAATGGTTCGTGAATTAAAAAAAAAAAGGTAAAACAAATTTAGCCTGTTTCCAATTATTTAAGCGCTCCCACCCCTCCAGGTTCTGTGTGGCACAATTTCCTGGGAGCACTGGGTTAGTCGCTGACCCGGAGAGAGCTATTTCTGGATGGCTCGTGCACCTGGGTGGCACAGCAAAGCTTGAACTTTTTGCCTCTGTCCTCTCGGCTGTGCCATTTGTCTCATTTGTTTTCTGGACAAGCTGGGCTGTTCCTTCATGGCACCAGCATCAATGCCCTTTGTCTCCTGACACCCTAGGGATTGAAGTTCAGACAGCACCGCACAACGCGATGATTTCTTTCCAGCACATTCGTTTGTGTCGTGTGATGTCCGGATAACCGTGGCGATCGGCCGAAGGTGAGTCGGCTCGGTGGACTACTCCAGGCTGCCGATGAAATTCCACACGTGAACGGGACGACCGCTTTGGTCTCGATGTAGCATTAAAATCGGACGTGAGAACAACAGTGAACCCAGCACCGTATAGATTCTCTCATTTTTCGCTTTTTAAAAAACAAAACAAAAAAAGTGCTTTGTCATATCTCCCCCACGGCACGTCTACTTTCTCGAAGTGTGTTTCCTCCTCTGCATCGCTGGAGCGAATTCAGGAAGGAGAGTCTGGATTGGAACACGACAGAGAAATTGAGCTATAGCAACAGAGCAACGGATAGAATTACACAACAAACTGAAAAAAAAAAATCATAGCGCCCATATTTCTCATAGGGTGTCTGGACTCGGCCCTTCAAGTTTTTTTTTTTTTTCTTTTTAGCGCATACCAGGCGCTGAGGGCCCCACCCCTCTTCTCTCAACGGACCTCGTTCTCTCCTTCCCGCCCGCAAACAGCTACGACTACAATTCCCAGCAAGCACCGCGCGGGGCGGCAAGGGACCAGACCTTCGCCGGAGGTCCCGCCCCCGCGAGGAGCATGTCGGGAGTTGTAGTGAACCGGCGCTTCCCGGCTACTCCCTTGCATGAGGCCATCCCTTTTGGAAAACGGTTGCTGCACTGGCGCAGGCAGGTTCTCTCAGCTTGGCGCTTAGAGCTCGGGGTGACGCAGAACGGTGTCTCCCGTCCCGTCGGTGTCACGGAGCTTTGCCCCGCCCCCGCGTTCACGCCCGTTTCCTTGACAGCTGGCGGAGTGCGCAGGCGCAGCTGCTCCGGCCTCGGTGGGCCGCCGGGGACGCGCACGTAGGCACGCAGGCGGCGTCACGTGGGGCGCCGAGGATCGCAGTGCGCGTGGCCGCGGCGGCTGGCGTGGGGTTGAGTCAGTTGTGAGACCGGGCGCTGCTGACCCAGCGGGCGGCCCACTTGGAGCCGCAGCCGAGCGACAGGCGTCGGGGCTCGGGGAGCCGTGCGCCTGGGTCCCGCGGAGACCTGTCGTCCTCCTCCCGCCTCTCCCTCGCCACCCCCCGCTGCCAGCCAGCCAGCAAACCGCCGCCGCCGCCGCCGCGGGCGCGCCCCCGCTCTGCGCTGTCTCTCCGATGGCGTCCGCCTCCGGGACCATGGCGAAGCACGAGCAGATCCTGGTCCTCGACCCGCCCACAGACCTCAAATTCAAAGGTAGGCCGGGCCGAGGCCGCGTCGGGGGCTGCGAGGGGCTTGTGGGCGGGCGCGGCCCCCTCCCCCAGCCCGGCGGCGGCTCCCGGGGCCCCTGCCCGCGGCCTCCTCCCTGCGGGCCCCGCGCGTCCGGGGCGCGCGCCGGCTGGGGCGCGGCGCTGGGTGGGGTGGAGAGGGGGAGGGAGCCGGCTCGGTCGCCATCTTGCGGTCCCGCGGGGGGCGCCTCCCCGGGGTGCTGTGGGTCCTCGGTCCCCGGGATCCCGGAGGGGCGAGAGGGGCGCGGGCCGAGCGGCCGGCCGGGGCTGCTGCGGGGCGGTGCGGAGGTGGCGCCGCCGCGCGCGCGCGCGCTGTCAGGGGCAGTGGAGCGCACGGGGAGCGCGCGCGGGCGGGCGCGGCGGCCCTGGGAGCCTGCTAGGGGAGGGCCTGGGTGGGGCCTGCCTTCGGTCCTCGGTCCTCAGTCCTCGCTGCTGCCGCCGCCTTCGCCCGGGCTTTAGGGCTCGGGAGGGTGCTGCTTTTGGCAGAGTCCCAGGCGCGTGCCGGGGTGAGGGGGGCCTCCCGGGAAGGTCTGCGTCAGCCGCCCGTGCCCGCGCGCGCTCCCCGCAGCGCCCTCGTGGCTGGGGGGGCCCCTCCGCTGCAAGTTGTGCGGCTCACTTTTCTGCTTTCACGTTTGCGGTGCTCCTCTCCTCCCCCCCCCCCAACACACACCCCACACACACTTCCAAAAAAAAAAAAAACCCAAACGCACAACCCGAGAAGGCTGATAAGGTGACACTGGCCCTGGGACTCCGCTGATTTCCCAGCACGGTGGCTTGTGATAAATGATCGCCGTGACTTGGTGACCCTGGAAGAGTCCAGGGGCCGTTTGGCCCGTTTGCTTTTTCTATGTGCAGGGCAAACAGGTTCCGGGGTTTTTATTGATTGATTTTTAAAGCATTCCTGGACGTGTGAAGATGTCAACAGCAGGCTGGTTCTTTGCTATTTAGTTGAGTAGGAATCGATTCCCCCCCCCCCCTTTGGAAAGTGGGTGTCTTGTACTTCAGTTGCAGGACCTGTGATGAGAGCGATTTTTGTGCGGTCTGCAGCGGCAGCTCCGGAGAGAACACTTAAATCCTTTTATTGTGGCGTGGGGTTGAGTCCGCGTCCCAAAGAAAATCCCGCCGGAGAATTTCAAAATAACTTCAGGGACTTAAAAAAATCATATGTTCCGGAGTTGAGAGTAATGATTGCTAAGTCAGTTTGCAAACTTGACTGGAAACGCAAGTGAGCTGTTAGAGGAAGGAGTTCGTGGTAAAGCAGCTCTTAGAACTTGTGAGGTGCAGGGAGTGCGTTTTATTGTACAGTTGGTGTGGCGCACGGTGTTGGGGGGCGGGGAGCCCTGGAGGAGTGCCGTAGGGTTGCCTGTCTGGGGGAGCCACCGTCCTCTTGTGAAGGGAACTTGGCGGGAACCTCCATGACAGACAGCACTTCTGCATAAGCATGCGTGAGTTGCCCTTAGTATCTAGGACTTCGAAGCCTTGGAAAGAAATTTTAGGCAAAAACATACTGGCTGTGGAACAGTTCTCCTGGAGAAGTTGTTATGTTGCACAGTGGTAAGGTTAATGGTGCAGAGGCAAGCCTGCGCTGGATCCTCCCGTATGGGCACCGGTTCTAATCCCAGAGGCCCCGCTTCCCATCCAGCTCCCTGCTTGTGGCCTGGAAAAGCAATCGAGGCTCCCTGCTTGTGGCCTGGGAAAGCAGTCGAGGACAGCCCAAAGCCTTAGGACCCTGTACCCACGTAGGAGACCCGAAAGAGCTCCTGGCTTCAGATTGGCTCAGCTCTGGCCGTTGCATCCACTTGGGGAGTGAATCAGCGGATGGAAGGTCTTCCTGTCTTTCCTCTCTGTATATCTCACTTTCCAATAAAAATAAATACGTCTTTGATTTATGAAGCTTAAGGATTTGTCTCATCCAACTATTGCGTTCTGAGTGTAGATAATACCAGGGAGAGTAGTGGCAGACCTGGGAAAGGCCTGTGAGACAGGCCCTGCTCCCCTCTGGGGAGGGCTGGGCAGAGTGAGTGGCTGAGGGAACCCTGCTTGTTGCTCCTGGCGAGAGAGAGAGAGAGAGAGAGAGAGAGAGAGTGTGTGTGTGTGTGTGTGTGTGTGTGTGTTGTACTTCTTCCCAGAGGAGGGTTGGAGAGGGAAGGAGTAGTGTAGTGAAACAGTGGTTGAGGTTGGTACCTGGTGTTGTCCTCGTTTCAGTGTTAATCTTTCAGTGATTATGCTGCTTGACATGGCAGGAACTCCTCTACGCTCAAATGCATGGCCAACATTGAGGAGAGGTGTTTAAACTCAGCACTTTGTTACCCTTAGTTACATAATGAATGATGCTAAAATGTCCTTTAACCGACTTGCCCTAAGTCACTCATAACTTTTAGTTTAAGTGAATGTTAAAAGTACTTTTGCAAAGGTTTTTTACAATCTACATTTGTATCTAAATTTCGATGCTTATTATTTGCTTAGAAGACATATTGCTTGGGTGATCATGTGCTGTTGGCTAGCCCAGTCCCCATGCTCCCCGGCCGGCCAGGCGCCTGGGACTTCATCCTCTCCTCCCCCGTGGGTGACAGGGACCAGAGCGCTTGAGCAGGGCCCGTGAGCAGAGAGCTGCTTTGAGGTTTTGTCTCTGCATGTACCTGCCCACAGCCAAATCGAGGCTTTCCTGCCGGCCCCGAGTGCATGCCGGGCCAGGGGGGCTGGGGCCTGGGGGCTGGGGCTGGGGCTGGGGGGCTGAGCATCAGCCCCCTTCAACATCGTTACCCTCTCGGTGTGGTGCCAGTGAGTTTGCTTTACATGTACTTGTTTCAGCATTTTTGATTTTATTTTTATTGGGTAGCATGACAATCAGAAATGCTTTGCACATCTAATTACATCTCTTTCTGCCTCTGAGACAATTTCTCGTGTATGTCCTGTTTAATGTATTTTTTGTTTGCAAAGTCACCATTTCTGAAATTCATTCATTTGTGAATGTGGCTTCATAATATTGGGTGTATTTGCTATGTGTCAGGTTTGCTGAATGTAAAACAATCCTTGGTTTTTATGACATGGTTGTAATGCTCTAATCTAGAAGCAGCCACTAATCAAATAATTAAATGCAGTTATGAAAAGCTGAGAAGATAAAATAAGGGACTTTGATCTGATCAAGGGTGGCTGTCACAGGCGTGCTAAGATTCTGAGAATAAGTGGAAATTACGTAGGTGAAGGAGAGTAAAAGTGTGTGTCCAAAGGTCCCGTGGCAGGAGGAATGGGAGGCATTTACAGGCAGCAGTGGCTGCAGCCCAGGCCGAGTGCCAGGCTGGGGTCATTCAGCAGCTGGGGCGCTTTGTCCTTCTCCTAAGCCACTGAGGAGTTTCAGGTGTGGGAGGGCGAGGACGATAGTGGGAAGGAACCGACCTCATAGTTGGTGTGCAGTTCTGGAGTAAAAGCATAAGCATGCAATAGGTAGTTGCAGTGCGCGCACCTGGCAGGAGGTGAGCTCTAACTGTGTCGTGAGACTTGGTGACAGTCAGCATTAGCTGTGTGCTCTGAGCATCGTGGCCAGTGCTGCGGGCGTGGCCGAGATCCAGGTTGACGAAACTTGATCAACCAAGACCTAAGACACGCGGGCTCCGTGGATAAGAATCACGGTGGCTGTGTATGAGGGGGAGGGGAATGTGGGAGGAGGAGATTGGCATCTCGTTAACCACTGTAGGTAGTTAGGTCCTTACATTAGTGAGGAAGTGCCAGAATGGACGCGGGGTATCTGATGGTGTTAGCCCCAGAGCAGCCTCAGTTTCGGATGGGTCCCTTGTGTGAAGTGGGTCTTGTTTGCCTCGCTTCGCCAGCAGGGTTCCTTTTCCCAGCGTCAGCGTTCTTGAGTTTGTCTTGCAAGTTGTCGCCGAAACTGCTCGTTGGAGAACACAGATCTGCATTCTCGCTCCCTTGTCTGGAGAACTCCTCAGGTGTCCATGTCACCTGCTGGAGAAGGTCTGAGATCACGGCCTCCTCGTCTTGGACTGTGTGAAGCTGTGCCCAGAGAACCCTGTGGAGCTGGTGGAAGACACAGCGCATGCTCTGCTGGCAGTCCTGTCCTCCTCATGGCTGTCAGGCAGGCTCCAGGTAGTGAATCACTTGATTTCCAGTTCAAGTTGGTCACTCACTGCCTTTTCCTGCCGCTGTTGAAGCTCTTGCCTACCTTGTAAAGCCAGTCCTTGATGCTTTGCGTGGCGTTTGGCAGACAGGATTTCCCCCCTGTGAGAGTGTGTCTTATCCGTCGAGACACAGTCACATCATGGAGCGATGGCC